ACAAAAGACTGTGACTTGGGCCGGGGAAGATGTGGCAGCTTAACTCTTAAAAGATTTTGTCGTCCTACCAATGGACTTTGTCACATCGCCGCGATGTGCCGCCTAAGCAAAGCCGACTCCAAGGAGAATACTGCTCCAAAGTTTTCCCGGGAGGTATCAGAGCCTGGAAATGCCGCCTCTGCTTAGCGAACATCCGGTGTTCCAGTTCAAAGCCTTCTGCCCCCCAAAAGCGGGGCTCCAACCATGCGTGTGGACGGGCAACTCGTCCCTTTCAAACAGGAGGTATTTTTTTGTTCAACGTCCCGTTAGTGCCACCCCGGCAAGAACTGCTTAGGGACGCCGGCACATCATATAAAGCCCATCACTTACAAAGCACAGCAACGAGCAGCTCCCCGGCTGCCTGGGCGGTGGGGAAGGGCTAGGCACTAGGCATGGGGACCTGCCACATTTTCCTCCCTGCTGTGCAGCCTGTCGGCTCCCACTGCAGCTGGAGGATTGTTCCCTGTCGCACTACAAGGGGGACAAACTTCAGCTGTGCTGCCCTGCGGGAATCACCCCGGGCATCTCCCAGTGTAGCCCTGAGACTCCCCCCTCCAGCCCCGCGGGAGGAAACCCCACCAGGAAGCAGCCACAGAAAGCCTCTGCCCAACTTTCCCTCTTTTCCAAAGGATCCGGCCGGTGCGGCCACCCCCGAGCCCCCCGGGCACGCACGCGCCCTTCGGGAGGACTCGGGTGCAGACCGCCCGCAGGAAAACTTCCCCCGACACCCACAGCAGCAGCTCGTCCCCTGGGCGGGGGCAGGAAAGTGCCTCCCGCCCCGGGACCAGCCATGCCCGGCCGCAGCAGTGCGCCCCTCCCGCGCGCGGAGCGGGCGTGCGCCCGCGAGCTCCCCTCGGCCCGCTTGTCCCGGGCGTGGCGCTGCCCCACGGCAGGTGGGCACGGGGGGCGGGAAACGTCCCTCTACTGCTGCCATTTGGCAGGGCAGACAGAGACTGCTGCCTGCGAGCGACCGCTGATCAGCTCCCGGCTTACCGCCCTGAGAAAGGCAGGCAAAGCTGCACAGCGGGTGAACCACACACACACACACACACACACACACAATCCACCTCTACACACACACCCCCGCTCCCGGGAGGGGTTGCTTAGCGATCCCGGTACCTGCCCCTCAGCAGCGATGTCTTCCCATCCTATTGCACAGGAATCAGATTGCTTCTCCTTGGGAGCAAGCCCTCCTCCAAGCTGCCTGCGCGCCCGGGGCTGGGGCTGGGGGTGGGGGCCGTGCGTGCGTTCACACATCCACACACCGCGATGCCGCCCTGCGCCTCAGCGAAACCCACAACGCGCAGAGCTGCACTTCCACGGCGCGGCCCCCAAGGGCGCAGCTCGCGGCTCCGGCATGACGGCAGCCCCGCTCGTGCGCTCGCCCGCTCCTCTCCTCTCCTCACGCACACGCACACGCCTTTCCCCCCCACACACACGCTCCTGCCCTACACACAGGCAGAACACACGCGCGCCTTTCCGTACACACAGGAAGAACGCGCGCGCGCGCACACCTTTCCTATACACAGCCAGCACACACACACAGCCAGAACACCCCCTCTTTCCCTATACACAGGCAAAACACACACACACACACACACACACACACACACACACACACACACTCCTTCCCTATACACAGCCCAAACAAGCACCCGGGGGGCAGCCCCAGCCCCTGGCCCCGCGAGCAAAGCGACCCGCGGACTCCGCCGTCCCCTCCTGAGAGAGACAAGGGCAGAGCCCCTGCCTTTAAAACCTCATCTGCCCGTTAGGGCCCGGGGAAAGTGGCGTGCAGCCAGCGCCAATTTCCCGTAGCAACCAAAGAATGTCTCCCTTTGGGGTGTTTCTGTTTGCTTGCTTGCTTTCTGTTTGTTTTAAATCTCCCCTCGGGGACAGGGAAGAGCCTGGTTCATGGTAAAACAGGAGGGTGGGGAGGGAAGATGAATGAGAGACTTGCAGTTTCCGGAGGACACTTCGCCCGTCTTTGAGAATGGCTTGTCCTCTCGCTGTCCCTCTGGCTGCGGATGGCACCGGGGCTTTGGGGTGCAGTCAGAGGAGATGGAAACAGAAAAGCCCCGGGTAAGATGCCCTCCCTTTCTTTTTCATCCCCCTCTCTCCAGTGTCTCTCTCTCTCTCTCTGCACATACGCTCACTCCAGCGGCTCAGTGCACAAGGGGGACAGCCCCAGCTGCGGGAGTCCTGTGCTACAGGAGAGACCGGGAGCCCTCCCTGTGCTACAGCTGCAGGCAGAAGGGGCCCGTGCAGCCTCCTGCCAGGCAGTGGGGACCAGAAAGGACGGGGACCTCTGCTCACCTGGCAGCCATCGGCCCCGTTGCACACAATCCCTGCTTGCAACTTTTCAGCATGATGAAGTGGGTGGGCTGGAATAAGTTTTGGAAAGAGGGGAGTCAAAGTATCTTTCTACACCCCTGGCCCCTGAACACTATATTTGCTTTCCTCCGAGCACTCCCCTAGCCTTTTCCATAGTGATTTGCCAAGAATAAGGGAGGATGCAGCATTTAGCTTGGTTCACAAGCTTTGAGGACATTATGCCACTTCCTCCCTTCCATCCCTAGCAGGTTCATAAATAGAGAGAGATGCTCAAGGTGACTGGTTAGTCCTGAAAGGACAACTGCAAAGCCAAAAACAAAAAAAAGCCCTGGTGTAGTTAAATTGCCACCAGGTGTTCCAGCTCCTTCTGAATTACTATTAACAGATGGTCAAGAACTTGACCCCACTGATAGTGGAGCCTCTTACAGAGGGGCAGAATAAGTGGAGAAACTCTTGGACAGCACCTTGTGTGAATGTGTCTGACAAACAGAACAGCACTTTATGGAAAGCTGCAGTCTTTGCAAATGTCCAGACAGGGCAGATGGAATCCGCACATTGAGCAACGGTATCAGACAGTGGCTCATAGATTTGGAAGCTAACATCTGATGCCATATGAAAGAAAGCGAGAGCTCCTGAAAGCCAGGCTGCCTCAGTCACAGGCAGTGCCAGAGCAACAAAGTTTGGCAACCGGGGGAAAGCCCGCAGCAACAGCCCACTCTTGCCCCATGCACAGATCTGGGGGGCACTCCCCACCATGCTTACCTGGGAGTGCACACAGAGACACCCTTCTCCCATCCCTGCGCCCCCCCAAAGAAGCCACTCACAGCTCCCACCCCACTCCATCTGGGAAGAGCCTATTGGAGTCCCTTCACTTGGCATCCAGGGTAGTCACCCTACCTGCCTGCCCTTGCTATGGCACCAGTCACAGGCACAGAGTCATAGAAATGAAGGGCTGGAAGGAACCTCCAGAGGTCATCTAGGCCTAGTCCAGCTCCCTTCCTGAGGCAGGAAGGATCATCCTCATCCTTACAGGAATAAAGAAAGTTCTGTCAGAATCTCTCCAAGTCTCAGCTTGTCCCTACAATACAACTTGTTAGTGGAGGGTCGTTTTCAGTAGAAATGGAAAATAAGACCAGACCATGTTGGCTGAGATGCCACTCCACCGCCTCCACCCCCAAATAAAAAAACTTTAAAAAACACGTTTTCCTTATAAGATGCAGATGGCATTATCATTGGTCTTCCTATATTCTTCATTAGTAGCTATAACCGGTGTGGTAAAGAAAAGTACAACTCTTGTCAGGAATATAAAGGGGTTTTCATTCAGGCTGCTAGACCCTGGTCCTGTAGCTCTCAGAATTTGTGCTGATTAGTGTCTCCACATAGAGTCTCCCTTCATCCTGCCCTCAATACCTCTATTTTGCAGGGACTGAAATTCTATGCAAATGGCTTGAAGTTTGTAGCTGCTAAATTCTGTACAACTCTATGTTATGTCACTCGCACATGGTAGTGAATCATGATTTGCTTGGTACATGACGTTCCAGGCAATAGTAGCTATACAAAACTTGACAGCTGCAGGTAGGTGCTGGATTTCCTAGAGCAGGGGTTGTCAACCTGGGGTACGTGTACCTCTGTGGGTACTTGGGAAGGCCCTAGAGGGTACACATGGGCAGGCAGGGATGGAGCACCACCACTGACCACCCTGTACCACCAGCTTCTAGGAGCAGGGGCAGGGCAGGGCGAGGGCAGCAGCACCTCTCTGTGGGCTGCACAGCCCCTGCCTGGCCAGGTGGACACAGGGTGGAGGGAAGTTTGCATGTGATGGTGGCTGCCGCCACCCACCACCCTGCACTGCCACTGCTCCACATCCAGCTACAACACTGCTGCCTCACCCCCCACCACTCTGCATCCAGCTGTGCACCACCAACCCCCCCACACACTTCATGTCTGGCTGCTGGGGGTACACTTATTAAAAAAAGGTTGAAAACCCCTGTCCTAGAGGGGTACCACTGTGGTAAGGTACATAGGCCTTGCATTAGGCCCCTCAGCTCTCCTGCTATCTGCCCAATGCTGTATTTGGATAGTATACTCAAGTAAGAAGAGCAGGAAGAAAAACAGAGAGGCTGCCAGCAAGGCAAGAACTGCAGAAGCTATCAATTGTTGCCACTGCAGAGTGAAGCCAGAGCTGTGGTAGCTCAGACACTGACTTGTTGAGTGGAGCTGCATGGAACCATCCAAAATGGATTAAGATGAGAGATGCATTAAGGATGCTGACAGATATGACAGTTTGTCACGCAATCAGCCATTGAAAGTGCTCTACAGTCCTGCACTGACAGAAGTGCATGGCTTCAGAGCGCTTTAAAAATGCCTGATTGTGCAACAATCTGAACCCTCATTACCTGAGGGTTCAGATGAAGTCACTCCAAAGCGGAGCACCTTCATTAACATCTGTCAGCACTTGCCAAGAGTAAGACTGAGCAGGGCTGATGCAACCCAGCCCTGGCTCCCAGTGCTGTCTTCAGAATAGGAAGGGGAGAAGGGAGGGGAGTGAGTTCAGTCGGGGGTTTGCCCAGCCAGGGTGGGGTTGGTTGGATTGGAGCCCCGCACCCTGAAGTGGGGGACCTTCCACCACTGCCTCCCCTACTCACATCCTGAGACAGCATGGGAGCTTGGAGAGGGGGAAGGGGCTGGAAGACAGATGCTGCAAACACACAGCCTCTCTCCCTGGATTTGCTCCAAAGTGGAGCTCAATCACCCACCTTCCCAGTCGAACAGCAAATGTCTGTTGGGTCTAGAGGGTCAGTCAAACTCATGGCACTTTCTGTGAAGTGCCATGAGTTAAACCAGGGAGCTGCATGTCTGCCAGCACCCTAAGAGACCACCACCATGTCTTTTTTAAAATGCAATACTACCTTGTACCAGAAGTATTGCTCCTTCTCATACCATCATTCTGCTGATATGCTTTATTTTTTACAGGTATTCAAAACAGTCAATGGCATTCAATGAGCTCAGCAGAGCATTGCTGAACCAGACTGCAGTGTCATATTTTACAGATTGCAGCTGCTCAGTTGTATGGCTTAATGACCAACAGAACCACTTGTCCAACTGAAAGCTACAACATGCAAAGTTGTTGCAATTATTTTCAGTAGTCTATTGTTTCTGGGGAAAAAAATTATTTTAACTACTACCTGTAGGATTTTAAACAATTTTTTAAGTACCTGCCCACGAAGAGTAGCTACCCCTTATGTATTTTTAAATGGTGCTTGCCATATACATATATTTCAAAATCATATAGTTTTGTCACTTATATTCTTTGGTGTACCTTATTATGTGTGTGTTTTTATAGAAGGACCATAAACTCCTGAGGAATGCCTGAGGAATATAAGGGGGGGGAGGGGGGGAACCTAATTAAATATATACATTAACACCAAAATCCTTTCATCATGTACTATGTACATTTTATCAGAGGTGAGGCAAAACTAGCTTCCAATCATTACTGATATCTGAAAAAGCTACCAGAGTGTCCATACTACAAAATCTCTGCAAATACTCTGAAGCAAAATTAAGGATAAGTTAAAGGCAAGGCAAAGATTTTGATCTATCAACATGTCTGTAACATTCCTTATCATGCCACTGCCTCAGTTCAACTTCTGCTGACCTACCTAATTCACACCTTTAACTCTTCTTGTTTTGAACTATTTCAGCTCCTTCTGTGGTCTCCCCAAGACACAGATTTCAGTATGTACAGAACATACCAGTACATCCTCTAGCACCTTGATATGCATTATTAAGTACAAATTCTTTTCAGAATTCTGGTCAAAACTGATTTGGGAAATGGGGGAAGAAGAAAGGAGGCTTAGCTCTGCACTCACAACCAATGCAAACTAGTACACTTCAGTCCTGCTCTTTTCATTTCATTCATTTACCTATCACAAGCCTCCC